GATAAACTTTCCTTCGACGATCTTGTGACTTCTTCCTTGAAAACGAACCCTTCCACGACCTCCCACGACCTTCCACGACCTCCCAGATATGAAGTGACAGACCTCAACACCATGTCCACAGAAGAGGATGACAGCAGCTGGAGGGACAGACTCGGAATCGACTTCAAAATAGAATTGTCAGACTCGGACCTCGAAGACGACCAGAATAAGTCGCCAAAATCAGTCAAAATCAGTCATGAAAAACTTACCAAGTGAGATTCGGCTGAGTGGTCTTACTCGATTTTACTTTCTGTGGGCGTTTTTAGGGAAGGCTTGTGTAGCGGGCGAAGGAAGACACTCATTTATTGGGTGATGACAAGGTGTAGTAATGCCTGTGGGAAAAGAATGAGGGTTTCGTCATTTATTTTGATTTGTTAGTTTCTAATTGATATGTAAAGCTCAGGTTACTCTAAGTTTGATTTTGCCATTTGGTTGCCATTGAATGCGGTTTGAAAATGTTGGTATATTTTGATGAAAAACAGGAAGTGATTGTGGTTGGGAGGAGGATCCATTATCTTTATTAGCAAAAGTGGTTAGATTATTTCTCTCTCTCTCTCTCTCTCTCTCTCTCTCTCTCTCTCTCTCTCTCTCTCTCTCTCTCTCTCTCTCTCTCTCTCTCTCTCTCTCTCTCCTCTCTCCCTCTCTCCCTCTCTCCCTCTCTCCCTCTCTCCCTCTCTCCCTCTCTCTCCCTCTCTCTCCCTCTCTCTCCCTCTCTCTGTCTCTGCCCCTCCCCCTCCCTCTCTCCCTCTCCCTCTCCCACTGCCCCTCCCCCTCTCCCTCTGCCCCTTCTTCTCTCCCTCTGCCCCTCCCTCTCTCCCTCTGCCCCTCCCCCTCTCCCACTGCCCCTCCCCCTCTCCCACTGCCCCTCCCCCCATCCCTCTGCCCCTGCCCCTCCCCCTCTCCCTCTCTCCTGCTCTCGCTCTCTCGCCCTTTCTCTCATTACTTTCCTTGTTTCTCACTCTCTTTTTCATGTTGGTACTCTGATAAATGTTCACGACATATATTCTAAGAAAGGAAAGGGTTTTGATTTCTTTGATTATATATCTCTGCTTTTTAAACATTTCCAAGCTCTGTCGCTACAAAATGTATGCTAGAGGTATTATATGTAAGGTGGGAGTTTGATCTCCTTTGCCAAAACACAAATTACTTTGGATGCTACGATAGATTCACATTGCTTCTTAATCCAATGACACCGGGTGTCATGCACGCCAGCTTTCGAGCAGTTTGTTTTCACGCGTCACCCGGCACCAAGGGGTTAAGTAAAATGTAGGTATTTCATTGCAGATCACATCAAGTTTGAATTGGACTTTGATAGAACAGAATTAGGCTATATACTAGAAAAAATAATCTTGTTTTCTACACATTTTATCTCTCTCTCAAAATCATGTAAAACACACACACCCAAAACAGGAAAAATACATTTTAGTATAAGCAACGTTATCGTAACTGAGCCCATAAGCACTTTGCTTTACTTAACTCAACATAGCCTAATCCACCATAAAGTAACCTAATCTAACCTAGGCAAGCCAAGCCTAGGCTTACCTTGAAGCCACTAAATGATTACCATGATTACCATGCTATTAAGAATCTGACCCAAAATGTTCATCAAAGAAAAGTTGTTAGTTTTGATGAGATAGAAGTAAATTTGATGGCATAATAAGTTCAAATTGTTTTGGTATGGTAAAAAAGGTAGACTACAAAATAAATGATTTCCAACGATATAGAGAACCTGAAATAATTCTGTTTGCAGACATATATTGTCAACATCTACTTTGCCTTATATTATAGGCTAGGGCTGTTAAGAATGTGACCAAAAATGTTCATCGAAGAAAAGTTATTAGTATTGATGAGATAGAAGGAAATTTTATTACATAATAAGTTCAAATTGTCTTAGTAATGTAAAAAAGGTAGCCTAAAAATATAAGACTTTGCTGCCAAATAGAGAATCTGAAATAATTATTTTTGTAGATATATATTGTCATCATCTATTTTGCCTATTATTGTAATTTGCTGGCCATCAGAAAAGACACAGATGAATGAGATAAGCCTTATCAGTCTGTGATTACCAGATATGACAGGGCTATGTAGTACATCAGAATTTTATGCATGAATTTACTAGCTTTATTATGATGAAGTTACCATATTATATTTTGTACTATGATTACAAGTATGTAGGGCAATCGATAACTAGTTTATTTCCCCTAAAAGTCCAACAGATGTGAATAGATGTTGTTAATTAGGTAACAAGAAAGATCCTCTTGGGAGTAGTGAGTGTAAAGTGTATATATTGTAGGAGTGATAATGAAATCCAAGTTTTGTAATAAAATATTGGATTTAGTTTATATGACAGGAAATGTTGTTTTTATAACTAAGGTGTATTTTGCAATCAATATAACATTTTTATTATGGTGCATTTAGAGGAATAGGATTTTAATTGTGAAATATTCCTAGAGTATTAGTA